CTCGCGTCTTTAATTTCCCTCCGACTCGTCTCCGGTGGTTTGTCGCGCGCAAATCCCTCCTGGGAACGTTTCGCGAGCCACTTCGCGGCACGAACTTGGAGCACTTCGCCTAGCTATGCATTACGCGGATGTTCGCCTCGCGAAGTTCGCCCTTCGTCCTCCATTCGCACGCTTGAATTTTCGTTTCGCCGAAAATCTGATTGACAGAAAGGACCAATTTTAATCTTTTACACGGATCGATTATTGCCCATCCGAGAAAAATAAGTTTTTCATTTTTCTAACGAAGAAAATGTATATAAATAAATTTATATGAAAGTTATAAATTGTGTACGATAAAAATATATTGAAAATTTTAAAAATATATTTTTATTATTCTCCATGGAGAAAATAGCTGGGCATTTTGTAGCTCTCCTCGATTTTATTAAGATTAAATGTAGAATTATGCATCCCCGTTTCTTATCACAATTGAGACGCGGTCGTAACGCGGTTCCCCGCCGGATTACGGCGGGATCCCGCGGCAAGATAAGAAGGCGGCCATCGGATTAATACCGTCGCCGGAGCCGTTGCGTCTCGCTTTCACGCGGATGATTAAATTCTATATCGAAAATGAATCGCTGAATTATTGACTAGTTTAGTGTGCGTTTTGTGTAACCGGCATTCGCCCTTGTTTAAGCAACGCTTTATTATATATTTAACCGCAACAAATTCATACTCGCCTCCCTTTTCCGCCGGCGATATTACGATAATTTAATTATTGTAATATTATCGAACTCTATCGCGACTGCGCATTAGTAATGACGTACAAATAATTCCGCCACCACCGAGACCGTACAATATGCGCGGTGTGTAGGGCAAAATAGCTTAATTCGTCCGCACCGGTGCGGCCTTTTGTTATTTCCTCGAATAATATTACGGCTCGTTTGTAAATTCAATACGTCGACTTTTTAACTCCTCGCCGACACTGTGTGTCGAGTGTGTGCCATCGATCGCTGCTTTCCCCGGCGTAACAATCATCGCCGTTATGGCCGACCATCCGCATGGGTACCGCGGTCCCTCCTCCGTCCGCCTCCCCGCTCGACCTGCGCCCCCGTAACTTACACCTTTACCCGATGGCGTAATTCCAAAGAGATCTACTCTGCGCGATGTCGCGCGAGGAAAATCTGACGTCGCTTAAAGCGCTCCTTTTTACGCTGGACTTAACGGAGTGTCATCTTGAAACTTGGCAACGCGAGTATACGAGTCTACTCGATTTCTTTATAAGAAAGATCTAACTGGTACGAAGATAATGCCGAACCGACGAACTCATTTTTCTCGGCTGAATATTGATCAATCTATCTTATCAATATCTCTTTTCCTGTACTCTAAATAGTGTTTCGGAGTAAAATTAATTTTCAAGTAGAATTTTTATACATATAGTGAGTTTCGAAAGATTCTCGTTCACGTCCAATGTGATCTCTTTAATCGAGAAATGATTGAGAAAATACTTTTTTCGGGTATGTAACGCGATTTTTTTACTTGGCGTCTCAATTCAAATACGGAATAATTGGTACATTTGATTGATTCGTCGATTTTTTTCCTCCGCCCCTCTTCGTTATTTAGTCGCGGCGTCCGCTCTAAGAAATAACTCGGAAAATTTCGACCATTTCGAGAAGGAGCGCCAGTGTCCATTTGCACAGGTGTCGCGTCGCGGGACGGTCGAGTGGCGGAAATTGTCAGCGGCAAAATTACGGGCGACGGTCGATTCATCGACGTCGAAACAATAACAATCGGCGTATGCCCGACGATGCGGTAATTAAAATAAAATTAATTGGATTGCCCGCGCGCGCACTCGCGGCCGAATCTTTCGAAGGAGATGACTGCACAGCCGTAGGGGTGTTTTGTGCGTTATTGCATATAATGCACTGTTTATTTTGCACTCTCTCTCTCTCTCTCTTTCTCTCTTTCTCTCTCTCTCTACCTCTCCCTCTCCCACGCCGCTCATTCCCCCCCTTGCCCTCTTTCCGCCGATCCTCCTTTCGGGGCGAGTATGTATTATACGCGAAACACGTATAAGCATATATATATGTACATGTTATGCGTACCCTGCAATCCGCTTCTCCTCTCTTCACCCTTCGGGACGATTCTCGCACCGCGAGTCTCCCAAAATCATTGATGTGTACACTCTCGATTCTTATAATAATTGCGATCAGTTTACGAGAAAACATATCTGTCCAGTTTGTAGTGTCAAAAGGACAAAAGAGAGAGCGTTGAATGCCTCGTAATTATCGAGATGTCGTTTCTCTTCAACGCCAAATGATACATTGTTGCCTGCGAATTTCCTGACGGTAATTTTCTCGCGCGAAGCTTCCGTAACGGTGGACCAACAATTTTGTCTCTCGCGATCGCGATCGTGGTTACTTCCGCTTTAAATAGTCGAGAGACTTGACGATTCCTATACGAATCGGTTGCCGAAGTCCTCGGCGAGGGGACCCCCGGTGCGCAATAATCGATCGCGATTACTCATTGATGTGCGCGCTCCCGGCGTGGTTTAGCAGGCAATCAATCTCCTCGACCCTCCCCCTCCCCCGAGAAGTTTACGTCTTCTAGTGTCTCCGTGAACCTTCCATTAAATTTTCACCGGGAATTGTCCTGATCTTCGATCCTCGTCCTTTCCCCGCTGCCCCTCCCCTTCCCGCCCCTCACCTTTCCTCCTTCTCGCTCCTACGGCGAGCTCCCCTTCGACCCATCTCGGGGAACTTCTCTACGGGATGTGATGCTGCCCCGAAGTCCGACGGCGAGGATCAGACTGATTCTCAAGTTCCACTTCGACTTTGTACAACGCCGGGATTTCCACGGGATATACTCCGGCCACCCGCGAGAAAGCTCCCGGCCTCGAAATCACGAGAAAAATCGGCGAGAGCCGCCGTCGGTCGTCCGTTTCGAGAGACTAGCGCGCGTTACGGAAATACCCGGGAAATGCCGGTATAATACCCGCGGTGTTGACGGCGGCAGATGTCCGTTTCTCAGCCGCGAGAAACGAGAAATATTACGTAGACCTTTCGGTAACCGGGCCCCCCTCTACCCCCGCCCTCGCTTTTTTTTTGCGCACACGTTGCCGATTCATTCGGCGTTAAAAACTTTACGACGCGCTCCCGCGCAAAACCGCGCCTCGCTTTGACCGTCGGCGAAACGCAAACCTGCAAACAAACGCGTACAAAAGCCGCGGATATTAATTTCGGCCGGCGCAACAGCGCACATACGTATTTTCCTTCGGTTTTTACAAGTTGTTACCCGTTTTTTTCGGCTAACGCATATCCGGCCCAGCTGGATAAGCGATTTTTGACGAATATCCATTCGATGCTCGGACCTCGTGTGACTCGCCCGTCATGCGTTGAATTTCCCATTCGCCATGAGAACATCAGTCGTGTGCAAAATAAAAAGTGAAATAAAGCCTTAAGCTGTACAATCTAAAAATAATATTAATAACATTCTACGACTTGCGCCCAAAATGTATCTCTTAGGAATGCAGTATAATATTTGAAGTGGATATTTAAATTCGTGTAATTTTCGAGTTTTCGACCGGCGCTCGGAATTTTTCCGACGTATATAGCTGAACGATTCGGATGTTTTGAACCTTAATCTTGAGCTGCTCGGATCTTTCGGATCTGACGGCGTAAACGCGGAGAGACGGGAGAGTCTGAGAGCTTCTTGTTTCGCGGCTTCAAGAAACGATCTCGGCACTTCCGCGCCGATCGCGGAATCACCGACGTGCGGCGCGGCTCGGCGCGGCGCGGCGCGGCGCGGCGCCGACTTTGCCGCATTCGAAATACGATTTATTTGTTCGTCATCCGCGCACGAGCGGGGCTCCCAAATCCAATAATGATTTGAATACCGGGCGGGCCGGTACGATCGTACGGTTTCGCGTTATTTCGGTCGCGCGCGCGGCGGTATCGCGCCCCCCGTAATTTTATAAACACTTTGAAAATCTTGCGTCACCGGCGGGGCTTCGCCGCGCGCGTTCGAGATTGCCTGCCTGCCGTTCCTAGGGCTTCGTCTGCGCCGGCAGCAAAATAATTACAAAATCGTACGCGAACGAAACGGGATAAATCGAGGCTGCGTTTCCCCCCTCCCTCCCCTTCTTTACTCCTCCTCCCCCTCCCCTCGCCCCCCACAATCGGGTACCCGGGTATTTTTTCAGCTTCAGGAAGCCGTCCGCGTTCTCTCGAGGAACCCTCCTGTCCCTCTGCGGTCTTCCGTGGGCCTATACAAATTCGAACCGGCCATTTTCGAGTGTTTGCCTCCCCCCCTCCCCGCCACCCTTCCTCGCCCCTTTCTCTCACTTCGAATCCGGATCACAGATCCGAGCGGATTTGTTTCAAAAGAAGGCCATTAGAAGGTATACAATAACTATACGTGTTTAGGGCAATTATCGCTCGTAATAATATTATCGTAAATTCATAGTTATGTACATATGTTACGTGCATATATATACGTTTCTTCTTTTTGTGTGTTAAGGGTGTCAAGCGGATCTAAATCGTCGGCACAAAGAAAATGAATCGTAGACATCTCTTTATGTCTGCGAGCCAAATGTATACTGTACATTATACGTATTGTGTGAATCTATCCTCTGCTATATGAATATATATATATATATATATATATATATATGTTTGCTTATATCTCTGCGTAAATGTATCTAGATGCTCAATTGGATTGCCGCGCGTGTACCAGGAATGCAAAGTTCACGTACTCGCACGGTTATGTCAAAATTGCAACGGCGTGATATTTCACATCGGCATTAATATCCCCCGCGTTCGTCACGCTGGCGGAAAGCACACTTTAAATCTCACAAGTTTGATACACAGTTGGATTAGCCGAGACACACATGGACGCGCGCAGAGAGATATGAGTCCCCCGCTCTGCGAACGCGTAGCGAAACTTTTATAATCGCGTAATATTGTAATTGAAAAATTACGTATCTCGTAAGATCGTAAGTCGTTCTAATCCAATCTCGCTGAAACATGACGGAGCCGGAGACTCAAACGGAAGACGAGACGGACACGATCGATGTAACGGAAGACGAGACGGTGGCCAGCGATGTTTTGGGGGAGGTTAAGACGGACACGGTCGAGATCGATGTAACGGAAGACGCGACGAGCGAGGATCAGACACTCAAGTACAGTACCGATTATGAGAGCGAGGCTAAGGAGGAGCTACCCTGGACGGACGAGGAGCAGGCACGCGAAACGGAAACGTAAGGGACACACGAGGCTCCTTTTCCGCAATCTCGCGAATATTGTTATCTCGCACCTAGATAGATAGACTGATGAATTTTCACGAGGCGTCGCGCAGATACGCCGAGCCGCACTCGAATCCGGGATGGAAAGAAGAACGGAACACTCTAAATTCGTTGCAGTGAGATCTCACTGCAAAGCAATGAAATTTCGCTGTAGCAAATAGTCAAAATGCGACCACCCTCTTTGCAGTGAGATTTTGCTTTAACTTAAAGTGAACTTGAGTCACTGCAGTTAACAGTGACATTTTAACTGCTAGTAAAGTGACTTT